GACGAATAAACTGTAAAACATTTCATTCAACAAAATTCCTGACTGAGATGCATGAATAATAGTTAATTTAAAAAAAAAGGAAATCAAATACGAAATGAAAGACTAGAGAAATTGAATAGAAGACGTGTGTGAAGAGTGATACAAACGAAAATGAGATAATGAGAAGTGGTTTCGAACTGACAATGTGACTCTTAAAAAATCTAATACAAAATAAAGAGAGTAAGAGAGGAAATAAAAGATAAGAGTGAAAAATGTGAGAACGACAAAGAAAAATAGACTTCTAGATAAAAGCTTTACTTTACAGATAAAAAAATTATAAAACACAGAAACGGTTTCTTTTTGAAAAAGTTTTTTTTTTCTTTTTTTTTATCTCTTTTTGTGCTGTTTTATTTTTTCAGTCATGAATTTCGACAAAGACAATAGAAAAGGTTCATGAATTAGTGACAGCGACCAGAGTGCATCCAGCGCTTCGTATAAAAATGTCATTGATGTCAGAGAACAGGTCTGATCATCCAATCGTGAATACTGAGTAGTCAACTAATATTGATTTTGACAAAAACGATGATGATTAAATTAATATTGGAATACGAAGTTTAATCAGACACTTGAGTATATAAAAGCGAAAGTATTGATAATGGCGTTGTTAGTTTTGCTGTTAACAGATGTGTGCAAATGTTTCCAGTGAGAAACATTTTTTATAGCTGTATTTTCAGTCACGATGTTATTAAAAGAGATTTTTTCTACTGGTCTTATATAGCTGTTTAGATTTGCAGTCAAAACATACTGAAAGTACTGATTCTCGTACAGTCACTGAAGTTAAGAAGAGGTGAGCTTGATCAGTATTTAGATGGGCGACCACTTGGAAACGCTGAACCCTGTGAGCAATAGCGAATTAAACCCTGTCATAAAATCCTGTTTTTAGAATGAGGGTCGTCGTTAAAAGAAGGTGGTACGTACAACAGCAGATGTGCAGTGTATCGCATCTAATCTTCTCGGCAGAGAAGCAATAAGTACATACCATCATTAAACATGGGAAACTACAACCTTCAGTAGGATTTGAAATCGCTAATTGCATTAAGTCACTTGGAATGCAATTGTAAAACACTATGATTACTGCATCTATTGTTCTTTCAAGTAGGAAGGAAGATTGACACGCTTTAAAGTAAATTAGTTCAACTTTATGCATGTAAATATAATAGCAGGTGCTTACATAATGAATATTTTCAAAACAGGTTCTCCGTAGAGGTATTTTCGAGTAGCTTGATTCTCTCTTGTGACATTACCAAGTGTTCCAAGAAATAGGTTTCAAAATAAGCCTTTTAAAAACAGAACTATGATCTGGAATTGGAATGAAAGCAGTGATGGTACCTACCCAGAATCTATAAAAATAACCAGTATGTGGAATTACTAAACACTAAACATTTAAGATATTATTGCGTATGGATCAGTTATAGCAAATTCTGTATAGGAAATATAGAAATAGAACCTAGAATAGGCGGCGCTTGAGGTCTTTACACCCAACACCGCAAACTGCTACAAAATCAAATCTCTTCTAATCCACTAATTCGTAGCAATGTGTGACAGAAATGGTTACTTCGAACACTGGAGTAAATAAGATCGTAACTAACGTTGTTGACGTAGAATTATAGAATTCTATAAATATTTTAATCTTCTAAAAATAATTTCTCCCCTTCTAAAAAGAAGAAGAAAAAACTTCTTTTTGGAATCTAAGATTATATTTATTTTTTACGTTTTATTTAAATGTAAACACCGATAGTTAGTAACGTACGACTACATTTTAACAAGGCAGATATACATTCTTTCTATACGAACCCAATGAATTAAAAAAGTAATCTTTATGAAGAGAAATATTGCTTCAATATAGAGAATTGGAAACTATGAATTAAAAACAACACATAAAATATTTATTCGAATATGCTTTTATAAAATGCTATGAAAATTAATGTTACCGCTGATGTTGTAAAAGCATTTTGTTAGTAATTACTAAATAGCATGCCCGTGAGTTCGATCCACCCTTGGTACCCCATACTTTTAGCTTTGTGCTATATCTAAGCTTAGCTTAAAAATCAGTTTGGGCACTTTGACGTGGTGCAGTGGTTAGCAAGCTTGTCTTACTGTATCAATTACGAATGTTTTCGTCATCATTAAGTGATGCATACTTTAGGCCTTGAGTCACATTTAGGTTTAGCTTAGAAAATCGCTATTTGGGTATCTCGACGTCTGGTAAGAAAGTCAGAAGTTAGAAAGCCTGTCTCGCAACATTAATTACGACTGAATAGTGAGTTCGGTCCTCAGTTGGTGCCCCAAACTTTCAGGGCACCAAGTGAGCTACGTTTAGAAAATCACTACAATCATCAGAAATATATTTGAAGCAAAATACATATGCGAGTCTTCTGAGCTTCAAATGAACTTTTATTAATATCTAGTCTGATTAGTATTGCCGTCATTGAAATTTTAGTTCGTTGCTTTGAATAAAAGACTATTTTTTTTGAATTTCCACAGTAATCTTTTTACATAGCTCATCTATCAAGCAGTCGCGGGCAGAGTAAAGAGAGGTCCCTAATTGGATATCTTTTCGCTATAATCGTTTTCGACGTTTTTACCATTTAATACTCTTGCTACTAAGTTATCAGAAAAGGAAGCTTGAATAAAAAACGTTGGAAAAGCATTACAAGTATGACTCAAGTAAAGGCAAACTAACGCCGTCAACAACTTCGTGTCCAAGGTGTCAGTTGTATTGCAGGGGGTTTCCTGCCTATTGTTTTGTAATGAAGTAGAGTGGAATGACATCATGATTATGTCATTATTTTCACTTTGAGTTACATGTGATATCCATTTTAATTGTTGATGCTGTTGAGTAAAAATATCTTAGTGAAAATGTGACCCTATACTGAAAAGGAAGTTTATATGTTTATCATTCATAAAAATGATAAGCATCGTGCTAATGCTAAAGATAATATTAGTCGTTTCCTTATAAGGAAACATTCGGCATTCATTGACCGAGCAGCCAATACTACTGTGGGTTGAAATTTATAAAATATTTATCTTAAAATATATTTCAAGAAAATAGGCTTCTCACGTTCAGAAGCTATTATTGTTATTTCCAGTATTGATGGCGATTTCCTTCCTTCCTTTTGTTTGAAGTAGTGTGATATGTCAACATCTTGATTATGTTATGCTTTTTCTCTTCGAATTACACGTTATATCTATTTTCATTGTTGCCGTTGTTGAAATTCCTATTGTGATGTGGTTAGTATCACATGGTATAGTTCTTTGTTCGTGATTTTTCACCAAGAACTATAGGCCTCACTCGCTCAAAGCCATTTTAAGCCATTGAACTGAGAACGCTGTTATATACAGCTGATATTTTAGATATTTCTGTACGGCTTTGGCTCCATGCATGACTTCCTTATGAAAGTTTCGACCTGACGAGACTATTCAAGTACATGACACGGGGTTTCAGGTTAATAGTTTTGTAGCAACTTGCGGTATTGGGCGAAACCCTTATTCTTTATGTACTGTATCCCTTCAGAAGGTAGGGACTCTCCACAATTTCTTATCCTTTGCAGCTATTAATAAATTCTGTCTTTTTGTTATAACTCCTAAATCTTGTTCCACCATCCATTTAATCAAGGTCACAAAATAGTTTATATGTTATTTTCCGCTCCTTATCTTGCTCTCAGTCTCTTCTGTGAGTATCAGATTTTCCAAGCCGTCTTTTCTTATTATGTGTCCTCTCATATACTCATCTGTTATGACGGCCATTGTTGAAATTCCTCTTGTGATGTGGTTTGTATCACATGGTATAGTTCTTTGTTCGTGATTATTCACCAAGAACTATAGGCCTCACTCGCTCAAAGCCATTTTAAGACATTGAACTGAGAACGCTGTTATATACAGCTGACATTTTAGATATTTCTGTACGGCTTTGGCTCCATACATGACTTCCTTATGAAAGTTTCGACCTGACGAGGCTATTCAAGTACATGACATGAGGTTTCAGGTTAATAGTTTTGTAGCAAGTCATTAGAAGTGTTTGGTATTTACTAAATCCACATCCTGAATTTTTATGATGGATTCAGATTATTAGCCATTATTGCTTTCATTACATTTCGAGATCATAGTTTTAGATCGGGAAATGTTTATTTTGAGTTCATCGATAGCAAAACTGAGGACAATAGCAAATTATATAGTTGGATGGACCTAATAAAATAATGGCGAAAGCTTAGAATTAATTGAAATTAGTTTTGGAAACTGAGACATGACATCTTAATATGTTCATTTCATTTATACAAATAAACTAACTCTAGTATCTCTTATTCGATACGAAATATAAAGTTTTATAAAAAATGAAGAGAAATAATTACTAATATATTTTAATATTATGTGAGGTGAAGAACTGAAGCCTAGTGGCTCTGATCAGTGCATATTCTTAGTAAAACAATGCCGAAAGATATGATGAGGAATATGATGTCAATAATGTTATATAATCTATGTCTGTCGGCGTTTGTTAAAATAACTTTTGGGAAATGCATCCAACAATATGACATGATTCAAGTGCAGATCTAATTTTACAAGCTAACGTTTCTTTCAGGTTTTGTGATGCCTTGTTGAATTATAAAATTTCTAGAATGCGTTGCTAGCTTTTCACACTAAAGATAACATGTTTTCTAGTGATAATGTCTTGACGACCTGGCAACAGAAATCAGTTTTCTACGTCGCTTTCATGTTGAAATATTCTTTCCAAATTATTTTTCTGATCGAATTATTTCGGTTCACTGCGTCTGCGACTCCAGGTGATATTTACCGCTTTAAGACGCTACTGTAGTCTTTAGAAATGAAAATATTTCCTTTGTTCTTGATAAATGATATTTATTTCTATTTATGACTTAAAGGAAAATTTATTTATCTGTGCTAATCATTCATTCTCTTCAGCATAGAACATAACTGGCTATCTAGATAGCTAGCGAGCTAGATAGCTAGCGAGTTAGATAGATAGATAGATAGATAGATAGATAGATAGATAGATAGATAGATAATGAAAAGAGTGGGATATATATATATATATATAATACGAAAGAAAAGTGGTATTTATAATTCAGAGATCTTAGCTTTTATATTCATTTAAAAAAAGAACAGTGTTCAATATGATCCGTAGGGATTAATATTATAATTATTTTATTTTTTTTCAAGAAAATATGTTTCCATCGAGACAAAGTGATTTGATTCATTATCAAGCGATTTTTTAGATTCTAAAAATCACTTGATATTGTAGATTTCATTTTTTGAATTAATCTAGATTTGGAGTTTTAAGATTTGAAACATAGGATCTTCTGTGTCACGATGGAATCATGTGTCTAAAAAATAATTATATTCACACACACACACACAAACACACACACACACACACACACACATATATATATATATATATATATATATATATATATATATATATGTATATATATATATATATATATATATATATATATATATCTACACGTCTTATATACGCGTGTTTATCGTTGCTTAGAAATCATCTATGTAAACATTGAGAGACTATCATCACTGTCGTGTCCGTATATTGTTTAATATGTTGTAATTGACAACTTTGATAATGGCTTAAGTAAGCCGAAAGCTTAGATTATATTAAAAAATATGGATCAATATTGTGAATTTCTTTCTTCGTTCAACGATAATGTTATTAAACTTATCAGATGTTACGAAAAAATTTACATAAAATAAATAGACAACACTTGTCTATATTATTTAATGAAACGTGTATAAATGAAAATATATGCCTAAATACACACAATATATATATATATATATATATATATATATATATATATATATATATATATATAGGTATATAAAATCAAAAATAATTTTCAAAACATTGGTGTTCGGGTCGCTAAAAATAAAACATGGGCATAAATCCATATAAACGTATGTCCACAAATCCTTCGTGATTAATTTTAAAGATAGTTTACGGCAGATGACGCTGTGTTGCCAAAAAGACTAGGTTACATTTGTCGTTCATGTACATTTGTGGATCGTCTGTCTTCAACGTTTAACATGTGTACTATTGAGGTAAATGAGAATTGTTATGTTTAAAAGGGCTACGATATTCACATCGTTAACAGGCAGATATGAATTTTACATACGGTTGCGTGAATGGTAATAGACGCGAGA